GGTATGAATCATGGCCACGTCGATAATCAGATAAGTACCAAGGTATTCAACGGTATCTTATCCTTGCTCGCTTAATCCATTTTATCGTTCCCCCCATATTTTACGTGGGGTTTTGGCAGCTAGCCACTCGCGTTCATTTACTAACTGCCTGATAGAAGATCCTTGCCCGGACCCGAGTACAACTTTGTTCCTATTGAAGGAAAGTTTTCACAACTTAAAATCGCAACTACTTCGTATGTACCTGCTAAGTATATCAGCATGTTGACATGGAGTTGAATCCCTGTTATACCTGGTACTTTTTGGGGGTAATTCGTTTAGCGGGGCATCTCATGAAGCATACCCGTCAAATTAGCCGCTATTAGCCTTTCGATCAGAACATTCCAATCCATGGGGGTACGATCCTCCCGAGGTAGTAATTTTCCCTGAGCGTCAAATATTTACCTTCAAATATCCTCCACATCCTTCGCCTATTTCGTTTTGCAATTGCGTGGCATAAACCCTACATCCAATGACCCCTCTCGCGTGGCCATCTTGGCTGTCACATCGGTCTTGGTGACCCCTAAAATGGATGGAATTCCCGGAGGCCAAGCCTTAAGCTTTAAGGCTTCTTTGGAACATCCATGAAGATGGTCCAAATAAAACATCAAGCTTGCATCAAAAACTCTATTGGCAACGAACATGCAGCTCTGCCGTCGCGTAGCTTTCCATTCCGAGTATAATTGAGTTTGATGGCCCAGGTGACCTTCTCAGCCCGCAAAATGTTCTTGATGGAAATCGAGGAAAAGGGGATCTCAACCGGCATCGGGCCGCCACTTGATCCTCGCCATGCCGAGATTTTGACCTTCACTGACCACGACACGGTCCCTTCGCAAATTCTGTCTCCGAAATTACAATCCGCTTGTTGACGTGATGGAAATAAGCAATCTATCGAATTGTTAGCGTAATAATAGGTGGATCGCGGGCGTTGCGGGCATTGCGGATTTCCGCAAGTCGTCGGCCTCGCGCTTTATTCACCCGTATCGATCCCGTTCTCGCTCAATCTTCGAAGATAACTGGTCAAATCTAGTGCTAAAAGATTTCGATGAATAGGATGCGCAATCCTATCCAACCTCCTTCGCATCCAAATTCCTCCCACTTTGTAGAAGGGCATACTACTGAGATCATTCGGTCACAATTCTCTCGATAAGACAATGGGGGAACCAATGTGTTTGATGTTTGATATTTGATATTGACCCTGTTATTTGTGGGCTTCTCCTCTAGGAATCTGTGGTACCCGTCTATAGTTGTAGACTTATCTCTGAGATCACGACCCTGATTTTCTCTTTATGTGGATTTGCTGCAACGCTTGAGATTTGTCTACTAGGATGTCCCCAGATTTTCGATTTCTCAAGATACAACATGTTGGTTTCTTTCCTGGGTTGTCAGGATCATCCTTGCTATCATTTACCTCCCATAAGCTTTGTCAAAAGCTTGAGGCTCTTCTTGAGAACCACCGGGCACCGGATTCTTTTCCCATCTCAACGCCCGCAAGCCACAATACCACAAGATATAGGGCAGCACATGCGATCTTGAGCAGGGAAAACAGTTTCAGGGTTTCCGGCAACCGATAGGTCAACATTACAATCAAGAGTCATGGAATTCAAGCGCTACATGCTATATGACTCTCTCTACAGCCTGTCACTCTTATGGGTCAAATTTGCGCTGCATCACTTTGTATGTGTGCATCAAGACGGCAACCACGTGTTTGTTAGGGAAAGTAGTAACAACTCTATCTACGATATTTCTCTTGGCATTGGGCTTGTATATATGCTAGTATCAACACATTACCGTTACATTACCAAAAAAGTTTCTTTGTGTCTAAATACATGATTACGCCATCACCATCCTCACTGCATTCAATCAACTTTATTCCTACTTCCTCCACATCCGAGGCTGCCAGCATCACAAGAAACTCCGTCCTTTCTTATCCAACATGGGTGAATCACTCCGTCGATAATTGCGTCGAGCAATCAATTTCTCATCCCGAGATTCGTTTGAATAATACTCGCTCCAGATATCATCAGTTATCTCAAGTATGCAAAGCGACAGTCTAGACATCACTATTTACCCTGCTTAGACGTCTGCAGTCATCTCGGCCAATATACCCTCATGTAAGTTGTTCCATCGTCTTCCCGAATCTAAGAAATAAAGATCATTATAGGCGGTTGACTCTTTGCCTCAGCCTTTCGTGCAGTGTAGATCATTAATTCTGATGTCGATTTGGTGGTATGAATTACTCCCCGTGACTTTCTCATATAAGATACGCCCCCCGAACCGCAATTAATAAGCTGATTCTCCTGTAGATATTCTCCCGTCAGCCGTATTGTTCCTTCTATACTGCAACTAGTTCTAGGGTTCTGGGACCCGAGTATAAAGTTCTTGCTCGGGTCCCCTTCAGCCTGCCTCATTGCTTACATTGGTTGGCACGACAATGAAGTTGCCGCTGACGGGAGCGAAAGACGTAAGGGGCTTACAAAGACCCATAAAGACCCTGTAAGCACTATGTTTGATGAAGAAACCCACGGTTGAAGATAAGTCCCTGCATTTAGCGTGCGTTTCTGATATTTCTGTGGGTGTTCCCGGGCCGAACCTGCTTCGTTGAGAATATGCAGATGTTCGGATTTCTGCATGCATGAAGTTGAGCTGCATGAGATAAGGCCTAGGGCTATTGACGTGAATAATCCCACCTCCCCGAAATAGTCTCAAACTTGAAGGATGCCGAGACAAATAGACTTCCGTGGCTCTTACCGGTCCGACATGAGGTTATTCGGCTTTTCAACGGTGAACGATCTCGGGTAAGCCAACTGTTGGCTCTTCTTCTTATCGGAGATTTCGGAGGGAGGTCACCGAAGCTCATGTTGGGCAGGCAGTAATCTGGTTGATTAGCAATCTGGTCGCTGCCTAACAAGATAATAAGGTTACATGCACGTGTTTTCTTTTCTTGAGAATCTTTTCTTACTGTCGATCATTTGGAACTGGAGAGGAGGAAAGTCCAAATTCCTTAACACAGCTGAGCGTCAAAGAATCCCCATCTAATCCCGCTGTCTAGTTGTATACATTTAACTACCAGTTTCAAAATAAGATCTCCGAGGATGAAATCGTCTTCAATTTGATCAGGTTCGGACGGTATTTGGCTTTGGTTTCTAATATCCACCCCCCCCCCTCCCTCCCCCCGCAAAACACACGGCCAGTAAAACGGTGCTGCCCCATGATCCACATGAACGAGATTCACAACACCAGTACCACCCGCCATGATAATATGCCACAGTGGGAATCTAGTCGCTTGAGATTGAGGCCAACATCAAAATTCTTCCAGTATTGAGAGTGTTTCAGAAGTTGAGATCGGCTCAAGCTTGCCTCTTTCAAAACCCTTAACACATCTTACCAAATAGTATCGCAATCTTTGCCACGCAACATATCCACAAAGCAAGCGATAATGATTCGCAATTATCCCCGGTGACTTTCCGGAAGATCTTCTACGCATACCAAAAAATCCAATTGGTAGCGCTACTGGATCTATAATCCACGATTCCCACGATTGGAGAATGGAGATCGGAAAGCAGATCATGAATACTACTATCTTCGCCAACTCTTACTTTTTATGAGCGGTTTGTGCTCCAGTGAGCATGCTTCAAGTGTATGCAAAAGAGTTTTGATTGTAAGACGTTAGACGAGCCTTGAATCCGGTTAAATTTTGACCGGAGTCCTTAAATCAAGCTGGTGGCCAACTAAAACCAAGGTCGGAAATGGAGGTAAGGTTTTGATCTTCGATTAGAACTTTGAGAAAGGGCTGTTTCCATATTGTATATTTCATATGGTGCTGAAATTCATGTTATTGCTACCACAGCGTTAGTCACAGAGCTGCGAGTCTGGCCCGTGTCGGAGAATTCTCCCTGTCATTAAAGCAATCCGATAAAGCTGAAGTTTTTGATCGTGCGAATGTTTTGAGGATGTTTCACGTCTGACCTCATAATCCCTAAACTAGAACGAATCTTCTTCGGAGTCGGGATTTAGGTTTTAATCTACGGGGTTTAACACAATGTAGTGATCTCCGGAGACTTGACTCCAATTTATCAATTGGGAGCTGGAATTTGATGGCTTCATCAGCTGGACGAGCCCTCCATCAGCCACATCAGTTTGACTGCCATCTTCTCGTGAATATTCTTCCCTAGCCTGATTTTCACGACCATGTACTCAATATTGTAACACCTGCATTCCACGAATCTTTTCTGTCCATTTTCTAATCATGTCTCAACTGGCGTTCTCTTCTCACCGTTGTACAAGGTTCACTCCACCCCACCCAAAAAGATGAAGATTACCGAGAGATGTCGTGCAAGCCTAACCAGTCTCTCTTCTGCACACCTCCACCAAACTTCCACTGCATACCGCATTTCCAAACAATCGATTCTAGATCTATCAATTCTTCAGCTGAAAGCCCGTTCAATAACGCTATCCTCCACAGTTTTTTCTTAAATCAAGAATGCCAAGATCAATGACCATTATATCTCCAGCTTTTCCCACGTCTCTGGCGTCTCCCCAAATGCTTCGTACTAGCTACCAACATGATGTACCCCAAACACAAAGTTCCACGAATGTATAACAAAAGCTTCAATAATTCGGCAGCACCAACGACAAATCTTCGTTCTTGCGGTACTCGACAGCTGCAATTAAGTTATCGCTCGGTGATCAATGATCAAGAAGAGTACAAATAATGGAAATATGAGGGCCGATTGTGTTAATCCCTCATACCGAGGTACAGAATTTGAACATTGTACTGAGAATTTGAAAGGACTTTGAGTTTAAAATATTATTATTTAAGGGTCTCATTGGTACCTGGATGGGAAATAAAGAAATATACATCATCTTCACTTTACTACATCAGCAAGGTCTTATCTGAGCCATCTACATTGCAAGTTCAAGATATTCAATCTAGAGAGCCTTCAGCTATCAACCAAGCGAAAATGCGTCCTATCTCACTAATCACAGCTGTCATTCTCCCTCTCGCCTTTGCGGCGCCTGTCCCTGAAAAAGGTATATTTCTCCAACGTGCCCCAGCTCCAACACCAAACTAGTTGAAATGCTCATATCACTAGACACTAGTCCTCAAGTTATCCCCATTCCCCCTCCCGCCGTAATTCAGGCCCTCATTGACGCTGGCCTTGGCCAATTCGCCACTCCCACCGACATAGCATACATCAATAACGCTATAGCCGCTGCGGAAGCTGCCGCCGCCGCCACGCAGAAAGCTGGTGGTTCTAGCAAGAGACAGGATTTGGGATTAGGATCAACAACGGGTGCATTAGATCCCATTCTTGGTATACTCGGGAGTTTAGGGCTTGGGGGTTTGAAAGAACGAGATGAGATTGTGAAGAGACAGGATTTGGGATTAGGAGCATTAACGAGTCCATTAGAGCCCATTCTTGGTATACTCGGGAGCTTAGGGATTGGGGGTTTGAAAGAACGAGATCAAACTGTCAAGAGACAAAGTCTTCCTGTTCTTGGAAATGTTGTTGGGAGTGTTCCGGGTATTGCGACTGGGACGGGGATCACGAATGATTTACCAATTGTAGGACCCGTTGTGGGAGGACTTTTGCAGAATCCGACTTCTGTTACTTCGGTATTGGGAGGTGGACTCAAAGAAAAAGCCAAGAGACGACAAGAAGGTATGACTTGATTTATATTCGAGAGCGTGGATTGCCATTTGAAACGCCTACTTTGCTGATGCAAGAGCTAATTGGTGATTCAGTCGCTGCTGCTATGAAAGAATAAAATGATAATGGAATCTTATTCAGTAGGAGATCTAGAAGGAAATGGGGAGATTATTGAGTGTTGGAATGATGCACATGGAAAGTTTGATGGCTATGGGTGGAAGATTATTGTTTGGATTGTATTTGGACTGCACTGCGACTCTGACTGCTAGATTTGATTTTGCTGTCCTAGCTATTTACTGTCTTTAGACCAACATGTTTAATGCAAGCTTTCGTTTTTGAACTCTCTTAAATATTACTCATATTTCTTCTGGAAATCTATAGATGTGGATAAGGACAACAGTACCTATTTAGTTCATTAAGATGAAGCAGCATCTTGCTATCGATCTATTAGTATAGCACTTTATATGGATTTCTCAACTCGAAATACCTAATGTTTGTATTTTGTATTTATATTCTAATCATTCTAATCATTCTAATCATTCTAATCATTCTAATCATTCTAATCATTCTAATCATTCTAATCATTCTAATCATTCTAATCATTCTAATTATTTTAAAAAAAAATTGTTATTATTATTTTTGAATTTTATTTGAAATTTTTACATGAATCAAAAACTTTATTATGAGGTGTTTTTAAAAATAATTATATCAGAATATCAAATAAATTGATTTCAATATATTAGAAACCTTTAGAGATTAAATAATAAGATATAAAATTCTATAAATGTATGAACAAGGGAATTCACTCAAGGGAATTAATTCACTTCAAGGAAATGACTTCAATACAATGGCAACTGTATTAAAGGTATTTAGGCGAAAGCGAAGGAGACTAGCTCTTTCAGTAGTGCCTATATAAGGCCTACTATTTCCCTCATTAGCTAGCTCCTTAGATTGAATACAAATAGACATTTAGGGGCCTACTCATAGTGGGAACTACGTCTTCCGTATCTCTCTCTCAAACCAACAATAAAGAATTAGAAATAAATTTAAAGGATTTCTGAAACAATATAGTATCTTAGTAGATATATCATATAAGCCAGTAGGCCTTACAAAAAACATTTTAGGTTGAAAAATCCGTATGAATTACTATGTACTAATTTAAAGCTTACACAGCTCAAATCTCCACATCCCATCATTTTCCATTGTAAAATTAAATCACACGGCAACAATGTTTCACGCTTTCACAATGAAGCAAAAAGGACTGAAAATCAAGAGAGTATGTACTTCATTTTTTTGACCACCAGACACAACCATGGACATAAAGAAATCAAACTAAAAAACCCCAATCCAATACCATGCCCCTCCCACGAAAAAGAGCCGTCGCTCAAAGCTGGGGAGTGCAGCCTCCTTGTTCATAATCTCATCACATCATCCAAATGCCACCATTTTCTTTTAGCGAAAGACAATAAGGTAAGTCGATCCCCCAGACCAATCAAATTCCAGGGATCCAACCAATATTTTATTGCAAATCACATGAGCAAGGGAATGCAGGCTCAAGATTACATCAAGCAATCGTTATTTAAACGTATTTGCAAGTAACACCAGTGCTTCCAACAAGTGAACAGTCGGTTTTGACCGTGCTGCCTTGCTCAAGATCGATGATGGTAGCACCGGTAACACCGACGGTGGTTCCGGACTTGACGGCAGAAGCACCAGTGAAGGTAACAGAACCGAAATCGGCAAAGCTGACGAGGGAGCCGCCCGACTCGAAGTCCTCAACGATCCACTCGGCATTGTATTCGCAGAGGTTTCCTTCAACACCACCGTTGAATGTGTGGGAAACAGATTTACCCTTGGTGACGTTGTTGACAGTGGCGGTACCAGCAGTCTTAGAGGTGGCGGTAACAGTGACCTTGATGGTATCACCAGCGGAGATGGAGATACCGCTGAAGTCGTATGCGTAATCTGGGTACCACTCATACCAAGCATCATAAGTGATGGAAGAACCAGACTTGGTCCAGTCAATACCAGTTTGGAGAATGGCAGTACCACAGGTGTCACCGTCAATACCAACCCATGCGGATCCGGAACCAGCAGTGGATGGGGATGGGGCAACGAAAGTACCAGTTACGGAGGTATAACCAGTGCCGACGAGGACAGCTCCAGCCCAGTTGGAGGAGTAGGAAACATCGGTCTTGTTGGTGACTTCGGAAGATGGTCCTTGAACGTACTTGACTGGGTTACCGTGGGTGCCAGCAGCGCGCTTAACGGCACGTGCTTGTCTCAAAGCAGTACCTGGGGCAGCAACGGCAGATCCGGCCAAGAAGGCGGTAGCAGCGAGAGTGGAGAACTTCATTTTGATTGATTGATTGATTGATTGATTGTCGAACGAACGGACAATTAATAGATTGATTGGATTGGATTGGCTGTGAGGACTGAGTAACGATTGAAGCTGGACTGGAGAGAGAAAGACATTATCCAGCGGATGAAGACATGATATATATAAGATTGAGAATGACTGACTCTTTGCATCAAGCTCAACTGCAATTCAACCCAGGTCTCAATCTACCTTCCCAAATGATCAGAATTTGTTGTTATCACGACAACGTGGGGATGTCGATATCTCAATTTGGACTTCTTGACCGGCACTTTGCATGGAAGGTCCAATAGTCGCCAATGAGGCCATTCAACTACGAATGCCGACGTCTAACTTTGACTAGTGCAATACCCATATTGACCCGTATAGATCAACTTGATCACCTTCCTCATTAACCGTCAAGCCTGTTAAACATCATTCATCTTAATTGAAGATCATCGACGATTGTCTTCAATCATTTCCATAAAAAGGAGGTCCTCTAATTTCTTATCTCAGAAACCTTGTTTTGGCGCCTATGTATACTGTATGTTCAACGGGCACAGGAACAGAACGGCAACATGAGCGGCTGTCTTCAAATGATCCACTAATCAAAGTAATCATGTGGTGTGGAGATAGATGGAAAGAACCTTATCTTAGATCAATGTTGTAACGAACATACCCCTCTACAATCTCCGCTTGAGCCACATTTTGATCATGGTTTCCATATATCTTGCATCTTGTAGTAAGGGAAGCAACGCAACTTTTTGCGAAATGTGGAAGGTATATTATGCAAGACAAGTTCTGATAGGCAAGTTGACCCCAAGGTTGCATTCCTGTGAAGATATGGATGAGGATGGATGTCGTTAAATGGAGACGTGAATGCATGTCAGAATCCAATCGGCGATTTAGGATCCTGGTCGTTCAATGCTATCGTTCACATGAAGGGATTATCTACCTATCGCAACCCCCAGAGAGAACCTCAAAAATTGTAGAAAGATACGAAGGACACAGCAGGGTCAGGAAACAACAAGGAGTATCTCCAAATCACCAAGGAATCTTCAAGAATGCCGAGGAATACCGTACATATCCATTGTCAAGAACAAGCTTTACAAGGACAATACAACACAAGAACAATGGGGCTACCCAAGCACTAGCTTCCCGTCTCGGCAACGCACGCCGCGCCGGCTCCATTATCGGCTACGAATGCTTGTCAATACACGAATCGTGTAACCCTAACTTACCATTTCTGTTCGAAAGCGACCTATCTCGTGCTATCTCGAAATATCTTCAGGAAGAAACGCAATTATCACGCAAATAATCTGTGGGTGAATCAAGGCAAATTCCTTCGGACTTCGCGAGATAGGATTTGTATTACGAAACAACCTTCCTGATATGGTTTATGGATTGCATTCCTTTCTTTTGAGTCTCGCAACTTACCATGTGAGGATCCGAATGTGACCGTCCTGAATCGCAAAATTTTGATTCTTTTGATATCCGGAGAACTCATTGATATGAGCGCCAAGATAAGCTATGCGGCTTTACTCGGCATGGGAATGATGGAGATGACGAAGCTTTACTTGGCGATGCCAACCGATGCCAACCTACTTGGCCTACTTGGCTGCAACGTCGATGGCTTTTGTCGACGAACTCTTAAATGAATGCCCCGTGGCAGGCGGATGGGTAGGCTGATTGAACAGTGTGCCAGACTCAATTCATCCGGTTCGCGCAAACTTCAAAGATATCGGATGGATACTGGCTAAATGCAATCCTTGTCCGTTCCTGAAAATCAAGCTGTTTGATTTGATACCCCATCTTTCGAACGTCGTGTAACTTTCGTGTTAAAGAAATTGTTGGGCGAGGCAGCGTTTGTCATTTCAAATCAGATGTCAGATTTTCTTGTTATGGTTGTCAGAACTTCAAACCCAATTTTGATTCCGGAGAGCTCTCCGAACATCTACAATTTCCATGAAGTGTTTGATGGATCAAGGATTCCTCTTCTCCTATCGACTCTGTCTGCCGCAGGATACAGAAATTTATACACCTATACACCAAGATGGGTGGTTGTTTCCTCCTTTGCACACTCGGAAATCACTTTTCTCATTCTACTCGACTGATCTAGATACCTAGGTACTAACATGAATACTAGATTTCATGGATTCTGTCTCACTAATCTCTCATTGACCAACCTCTCATTTAAATCGAACAGATCATCTGATCCTATCGTCCTGTTCTTTAGTACCTCTGATATAGCGGCAACAACAACATACTGACGAGAGAAGAGAGAAGAGAGGGATATTCAAGTATCTTATCCTTCGAGTATCTCTTGAGTTGTACGTCAGAGTTCTTGGTGAAGAAAGCTGTGTACAACTTCAAAACGACTGCGACGAATAGAGATGAGGCCGGCTGTGGCAGTGACTTGACTCACGCTGAAATACGCCTATCCGTCTTTCTTTTCTTCCTTTTCATCTCAACACCTTTGCCCAATTCTTCTCTTATAGAAAAAATCCAAGGTTCGGAACGAAAGAACATCATAGGGTGCGACTTAGGTGATATCCTTCAGATAGCGTACTCCTATTTCGAATTTCTCCTTCACGTATAGTACTTACTTTGATGTACTCTTCCTCTACACTTGAGCCTGGATAAGTAGACAACACATGGAGCTTTATCAGCATCAAGATCAACCTCACATAGGTACTTAGGTAGTGAAAGTAACTGCATAGCCTGCTTGATCTTTTGAAGGCCACGCAATCAGTGGCAACATTAATTAGTATAGACTTCTATCTAGGGATGGGCAAATTACATATTCTTAGGGTTGATTATATAATTTCATATTATCACACTTTTTGAGGCATATAAAATATTATGCCAAGCTTATGCACGTGTTTTTTGGACCAATAAAATCATCAGGATGAATGAAAGTGGGTCGTTTTTTAAAAAAGTTTTTAGTGGGTTGTAATTTTCAATTTAGTGTATAATTAGACCTAAAAGTCAGGTGCTATTTATTTGCTAATCATGTGATTTATATACTAATTATTTTCTTTTCAAACTAGCTCCAAAATAGCTTCAAAATAGCCTTTTATAGGATTTTTATAGGATTTTATAGGATTTTATGATTAGTCATACATATAATGCGATTTGACTAATATTACGTATTATATTCAACTGACGAATATACGATATTATATATCATCAAAAATCCCAACCCTACTTCTATCTGTAAGAATCAACCGGAATGTTCAGTACTATCTATGGCGCGTCATGCGGACATTTTTGCTCAGAACGATTTCTTTCATCTAGTATAATAATATTATTATCTAATATCGTCCTGAGCAAAAATATCCGCATAATACACCATAGTTATCATATTATCTACTAAATTGCTATCAAAATTTAAGATCGAGATAGAAGTATCTTTAGAGATTCTGGTTTTGGTGTGGTTGGGCGTCCCAGTTTTTCCGTCCACCCCGAGCCTAGTTGCTTACCCCCGCTCTTTTGAAACCTCCCCTGCTATCTACAAGGAAATCTGTGTCTATCGTCACATTTTCGTACAGGCCCGCAATAGGTATGGATATAGATTGTGGCGCGCCCCTAGAGCAAGCTATCTTCATCAGCGTGCCGTGTCTCCGTGCATGCATATTCACAATCAAGAAGTGCAGAAGAAAACCATGGACGATAGGAGTTTTCACTAAGATACTCTTACCATCTGAGAGTTTCAACAAGAGTCGTCTATTGAGAATTATCGATGACACAAAACGGTTGGAACTTCCGGCATATCGTTTCCTGAAACCCATCTCTGACGCCCTGCCTTATCTGCTCCATGCTCCAACAACAATTCCACCATACTCCCTTCTGGATTATTAGTACTGGCCCAATATAGAGGGCTTTCTCCAAGAACGTTGGGAGTATCCGGATTCGCACCTCTCTCGAGCAAGAGCTTTGCCACTTTATAATGATCTCTGTAACAGGCGACATGTAAAGCAGTCGCATGTGCTCGTCCCCCAAGTGCATCGATATCGATATCTCTCTCCGTATCCAATATGATGCGCACAATATCTGCAAGTCCAAAAGACGCTACGTAGTAAAGAGGATGTGTTCTCAATATATATGAATCCTTTGTAGGAGCAGATGGCATCATCATGCCAAGCCAGAAAGCGAAGTTACCACCATGCTCGAGATTGTGGGTTTCGAAGAAAGCATGGAGGAGTTTCCGAGTACGTGGTGCAAGATAATCATCGGGATCGCCAGGTTCTTTGTTCACATATCGTGGCCAGTTTATGGTGAGGTGACGAAGAAAGGGATATTTTCGATAGCGACTCTTGAGTAATTCTCGTTCATGACCTTGGGAAAACTCGGGATTGAGTAGGTATGCCAGGCAAGCCTGAGCCATAAATTGACGCGCTGTATATTGAGTGTAGTGGAACGGCGAGGTTGTGGTGTGAGTGAGATAATCCGCTACGGATGCATGTGCAAGTTTCACTCCAGGTGAACTATATATGGATTCCTGTCTTGGCAAGTCTCTCTTCCATCTAGTCTTAAACTCTCCGTCTTGTCCTGATCTTGGTTCAAATTTGGTCACAAGAGACGAGCACATAGAAAGAACTATTTCAGGATTGAGAAGTCGAGAATCTTCATCAAAACACGGTAGATCCGAATCGAAATCTATGGCTAGAATTTCCACCAACTCCTCGACATTCAAGGGCTTTGCAGCTACTGTGAGAGCTTGAAGAATCTTCGAAACTTCCGATCGATGGTCAACATCAATTTGCTGCAATATTCGCTCATAAGTCTCGTCCAGACTTTTGGGTAATTTTTTCATCGCTTTCCGTATCGCTGACACGCTGGTGCATTTTCGAAACATATCTAATTGGCAGACCACCCATCGGAACCTGTATTATCGTCAAAATAAATCCTTCAAATTTTTAGAGGGGGGACCCGGGTACTTACATGCCATCTCCCTCTTCAGTCAACTTGAATTCAATTTGGTCTCGAATATCTTGCGGCCATTTTGACATTATTTTATCGTGGTCCATTTTCTCGGAGACGAAATATCTAATGTCACTTCTTGCTGACAGGTTATCTTGCAAACACATTCGGCCACTGACCAAAGGAGATAGAACCTCTTCTATCTCGGTTAATTGTCTACTAGTAACCAGCAAGCGCAATCTTTGATACTTCCATGCTTTTATAGTAGAAAGGAATGACAGGACTTCTGTATTCCTAGCGGCCTCATCTAGTGCATCAAAAACTATGTAGACATGATGGAATGATAATAGAATGTTACGAAAGCATTCAAGAAGCGCATCATCTGCTGGCGATGTGGACGTTTTGGTGCTTAAATCCTCGTAAAGATTTGTCAATGACCGAGGAATATCACTACTTTGTGCCGAGAGTTGAGCAATCAAAGATTTGAGAGCGCCATTCAAATCTCCATTAAAGTCGAAATAGAAGTATGCGAGTGCTATCTTAGGGTGTTGTTGAACTTGAGTCATCAAATGCTCTACTATCGTAGAACTAGTAAATAATTGTGAGTTATTAACAGTCCAAGTATACTTCAGAGTGCTTGTTACCATAGTACGGTCTTCCCACTACCAGCTGATATCAAGAGATTAGTCAAAAACTTGAGTCAAGGTCATTCAACTTACGAATACCATAAAGCCATAGGAAGGCATCATTACCAAGATACCAATCTTCGTATTGCTTACTTGTTATGAACCATGTTCCCGTCTTTGGTTGGTGTTTCTTTAACGTTGCAGAATGAGTAGGAAACGGGTCTGGCGCAGCTAGCCATCGATAAATATCCCGAGCTGTTTGATCTGTACGATGTGTCAATTTCGATCATAATCTTCAATAGTCTGGACAGTAATCCAAAAAGAAGAAATCGCTGAAGCGATCTTCACATAACATCCCTCGGTCATGACCATGAACACGGGGTTTCGACATCAAGTTCCACCATATTCTCAACAGCCCTCAAATCTAATCCGTAAACTAGATTTTTAAATTCTCAACCCAGATTCTTACCTGCAAATTGGTTTTCAATCCTATTCGTAAGATTTAAGGCCAGATTCCTACCATCTCATAAGCACTTCAACCCCCAAATAATACTTCAAACTCACGTCTGATCAGCACTCAGCCCCAAAGCCAACGTGCTCTTCAACCTCTCCAACACCACCAACGTCTTCCTCACCTCACCCTCTTTCAACGGCCAAACTAATCTCTCCTTAATTGCCCTCCATCCCTCACTCCCACCCACCCCTCCTTTCTCCAGTTTCCCCTTCAACATCTCCAACTCATTTTTACACACGAAAAGCGGCCCATCTTCCTTTAACAACAACTCAAATGTCGATAGCTGGGAGAAACCATTCGATTCAGCCTTCTCAGCAAGTTTAAGCAACGAATCCAAAATATCCCTCAAACTATTCAATTCATCTGAAATCTGCACGATTTCCTTCGAAGCATGTTTGACACCTTGACGATAATCGTAGCAGAAAGATATCAAGGATCCGGTTATTTGAAGGACGGCTATCAAACTGGCCGATAAACTTAAAGGGTCCATTACTGAGGAGTGAGTGGTTTTCAGGGTACGCTTCACATATGATGATGTAGAAAGCGAAATTGGTATACTTACTTGCTTACTTGCCCCATTCAATTGAATAATACATTTTGTGTGATAAGCCAAGAACCTGCTGAGGGTTTCCAGCTCTTCCTATTGGGATACATAACATAGTACGTACGTACAAGCATGAACTGCGCACTCGATATGCATGCTGAAAAATACGCGTGCTGATATGTTCGAATCATGGTTCTATACCCACATCCACCCACAGATTCAATCACTCACCCATCTCTGAGAGTATAATCTCTGAGATTGTATCTTCTCTTTCTTGTCCACCAGTTTCAACAATTAGACGACCAGTATTTGTGTTTTAGCAGTAAAATCTATTGATACCGTTATTGAGTACCTAGGTGCATCCTCTTTACTAGAAGATCACGATTTGTAATTCCTCCAACCGAAATTCCACCGAATAGGTTACCAAGTTCTCGAAAAATACTCATTGCATTACAAGCACACCATATCACATTGATGTCACAACAAGTGTTAAACCTCAATTCATTTCTGATAGTACATATTAAATACTAATTGATGTATTGCTATTTCAAAAATCAAGACAGCTAGCTAAATGCGCTCATCTCATTTCCTGAGAAGATTCTCATAATCGTTTTCCATAACTTCGAGAAACCTATGTGTTTATGTCCCCAAACGAGTTTGCCCTCCATGCGCTGTAGTCATTATAAAATACACTAATCTATACATTAAGTCATGCTCTCGATTAAACTCCGTAAAGCGCCTCACATCTCAACCCCAGAGATGCAAATCCATATTTGCCTCACTTCTTTCCCTTTTCCGTGGCACTCTTTCCCTGAGGATCCTTCTCCATCGCTGCACTAACCTTTTCTAATTTCGTCTTTTGACGATCGTCGAGTGTGTGAAACCATTCTCTTAATTCCTTCATGTGTTTCTTTTCTCCATGGCCATATTCAACAGGAGGTCCCCGAACTTCTATTTCTGTACCCTCATCCTTGAACACTGCCCAACTACTTTCTTCTTCAGATTTCAATGTGAAACCTCTCCCTTTAACCGATAAGACGCTGAAGTCTCTCAGTAATATACCATCTCCAATTTCAGGTGTGGGAAGGGCATCTCTGTATGGACGGAAGATTTTTACTTCCACTACGCCGGAAGGAGCTATAGTTTGATCGGTAATGGTGAAGGTGCTAGTGTAGTGTCTTGGCCCTGACTTTGCTCTTTGAGGTTCGGTAGGTACACTCGTAGCGATTGCCAAAATATCCAGTTTAGAGTTCATTTTGAAACGAAGCATTTTGAGAGTTGTATATTCACTCAAATCAGTACGAAGATATTTAGTCAAACGGAGTTTCGGATCGGTAGTCGCTGGTGCTCTTAGGTGATGGCCGGCTTTTGTAGGCGATTCGGGTAATCCGAGTATTGCCATTTCAGCGCTTGTATCCGGACCTTTTAGTGTTTTCTCTTCATCGAGAACTAGAGATGGCGACCTTTTAGACTGATTGCTACCATGTGTAGATTGCCTCTCACTCTCTTTGTTGGATTTTGTTGGCGTTACAGTAGGGACAGCCTCCACAACTGGCTCCAACTTTTTAGATCGTGTTTGTCTAGGACTTACAGTCGCTGATCCTTTCCTACTCCTCTTGAAATCAGGCGAAGGCGAAAGATCTTTGCTGGACCGGGTTTGTCTAGGGCTGACTGGGGTTGATTCTTTTTTGCTTTTCCTAGATTCAGGTGTAGATTCTTTGCGGCTACGACTTCTTAAGGGAGATAAAGAATTAGGAAGTGCTCGTCTGAATTTCTCCGACACAAAGGCTTCGGTTTCATCGGCGACAGCTTCAGTCTCCTCAATTGTTTGCTCAATATACTCTTCCGTGATCTCGAAATTCTTCAAGTCTTTCTCAAAACTGCTGTTTTCGGCCAACTTTGCAAGAGTCTGTTGAGTTTCGAACTCCGTCGTTTCGGCTTCCCTGACTTTGATTTCGATTTGTTCAATCTCCGCCTCTCCCTCTCCATCTCCCTCTTCAGATTCTTCATCTTCAACATCCGAAACGCCCTCCCTAAACACCTCATCCTCATCAACATCTGAAGTGCCCTCCCTGAATACCTCATCTTCGTCAACATCCGAAACTCCCTCTACAAACACTCCACCTTGACGCATCTCCAAATATTTCTCCCCGGCCTCTTCATCTTCATCAACAATTGATTCGATCTCTTCGAATTTTTCTCCTTCATTTACTTCAACATCGTCTTCCTCCGCTCTCCCAGCTATATCGTCCTCGATAATCTCTTCGCTGACCTGCCTGACTTCGGTTTCAGTAGTTTCAGACTCTTTGAGCTCAAGTATTTCTGTCTTATTAAATTGAATCTCTATGTCTTCGGACTCGGGATCAACCATTTCATCGTCTTCATCTATCGCACCCGTGTCTGAAGCTACATTCAAATTCGTGTCAGGCTTCTCTTGAGAAGAATTTAGGTCTTCATTCTCAAGTAAGTCCGGTGATGGATCCTTTTCAATGCGTGCATCAGTTTTCATCATATCCATATCTTCGTCCATCTCTCCCATCTCTTCTTGTAACTGAAGTTGAAGTAGATCTGACATCGAAGTTAATCCGTCCTCATCATCGTCCCCATCAATGTTCTCATCAATGTTCTCATCAATATTCTCATCAATGTTCTCATCAATGTTCTGCTTTTGAGTATCGTCAGGTGTTGGAAGCTGATAATTCTGATGATCTGTGGTGGTATCGATGGCATTAGTAGTGCTTTGGGACTGTGACATTTGGTCTGATTCATCAATCAACTCTGGTTTATCTTCCAATTCAGTTGTTGGCACCGCAGGAGAAGAGATTAGACCTTTATTGTCTTTGTCGCCCTCATCACCCGTATCATTCGCATCACTGGTATCATTTGCATCGCTCGTATCGTTTGCACCATCTATACCAAAAGTTCTCGAGAACAGGGTAGCCCCTTTAGGAGACCTTGCCCAACCAGACTTGGCAGCTCGATCCTTAATGCTTTGATCTGTGGAAATGGGGACTGTTGAAACATTGGAATTCTCTAAAGTGATTGGTGATGGTAGGACATGTTCGAGTGCAACACTCATAGTATCTGCATTGCCACCGGCCAGTATAGGGTCAGGTACAGTTTCGGTCGCTGTTCGTATATCATCCGTCATTTCGATTGGCTCGGGTCCTTGCGAAGAAGTCTCCTCAGCATTTGCTTCATTCGAATTTTGGTCAATATCCTCATTTTCAACATTCTCGACGCCGTTCTTGAAGATTTCATCATCGCTCTGGGGTACATCGCCGTCGGTATTTGCAGAACCCTGTTTCAATTGTTTTTCTGAACCCACCTCCTCTAGCTTTTCGAGTAAACCATCGAGATTGTCTGTAGTATTATCGACATCCATCTTGTCAATGGTAGCAGATGGATTGGTTACATTGGTCTCGATGTCCATAGGCTCAGTAGAATCTAGTTCGATAGCATTCTCATCCTCGAGATTTTCTTGTGATGGAGATTGCTTTGCGCCCTCTGGCGCAAGCACGCTTTCATCTACATCCATTTGCGCGTCAAGACCAGAGCCCAATTTATTCAATACATTCTCGGGCATTTCTGCATCGGGTTTTATGGATTCGGTGCGGTCATTGACTAGCGTTATTGCACTTGCCATTGGCTCGTCCTCAACTGACTCTTCCGAAGACTCTCTCACGAATTCTTGGGACTTTGTTGAACGGATGCTAACGTTTTGAACTTGTTCGCCAACAATGTCCAGACCTGCATCTCCCTCTTTCTCTTCTTCCTCTTCATCATCCTCTTCTTCCTCTCCGTCATCCTCATATTCCTCTGACTCTTCCCCGGATTCAATTGTCTCGTCAACCTTAAGATTGTTTCTGATTTGAGCAACTGGGGCTTCCGCTGGCTCCTCATCTTCATCATCCGAGGACAAAAGGTCTATTACTTCGGGCTGTTGCTGTACTGGCGCTTGATTACTCGTCTCATCCTCACTGTAGCTATCTTCGTCGGTATCCTCTTCACTGCCGTTTTCGTAATCTTCGGGATAGTTGACTCTTCCCATTGAATCCAAATTTTTATCATTTTCGTCAAAGTAGCCCAGTCCATAGTCATCTGTTTCGTTCTGATCATCGTAAATAATTTCCTCGTCTTCATCTTCTTCCCTTAAATCATAGTAAATACCTTGCTCGCCATGCTCCACTGGGAAAGCCGAGTTGGGCAGCTGCTGCTCACTATTATCTTCTACTTCAAGAAATCCCTCAGCATCCTCATCCTCATCCTCATCACTACTCTCGGTCAAGTCTACAACTTTAGATGGGGGAGAGTGATGCGATTGATGGTTGTGACTGGATTGACGAGATTGATCGCTTTGGGACCGAACCATAGATGTCGTGGAGGGGAGTTGAGGGTATAAATCGGCAGTTTGTTGTTGACTGTCTCCGAAGTCGGGATAGGCCATGCTAGGCTGAGTGGTCCAATTGTTTGGTTCTGTGTAAGTCTGCTCTGGATCGGGATAGTTGTATTGATCCAGACCCTCCTCCATCTCAGGGGCAACGAATCGGCTTTGTTCTTCCGGTATCTCTTCGTAAACGCCGGCTGATATATAGGATTCTGGCTCAGGAGCATTGTACGGGGCAAATAATTGATCACCACCGTCCTCGGTCCCATTTTGACGTTGCTGGTGAGGAGGGAAGGTGTTCTGAGTATTCAGAGGGTCATACTGGTCCCCAGAAAGAATTGATGACGTATTATAGGTAGTCTGATCCGACTTCGACTGACCGTTTGTGTGATGCAGAGGACTTGCATCATACACTTCGTCTTCTTTCCTGTGACCTGGCATCTGTTTATCAGACTCCACTGGAAGCGCATCTGGAGCATTTAGTATTTCGAGATTTTGAGTGTGTTCACTGTGTACGTAGTTGTTGAACTTCTCAACTCGGGTTGTTACCAGTGGAGAGACTAAAGGAAGACCTTCTGATGGCAAAGGTCGTAGTTGCGGGGAAGAAGGTAACTTTTCATCTAGTTTATCGGACGATGTTTCCCGTGGCTCGATGTCTGGAATGAAAAAATCAGTCGCTTTATGTGGAGGCGGCATTGGATTTGTGTTCCCATCTTCGGCCTGTGGTATTTCCTGTAATGGAGCTTCCACATGCACAACCTCTACGGTGTCATTTGCCTCCACTTCCTCAGTGATTTTGGGCAAATCTTGTTCTAGTTTTTGCGTCGCTTCGGCGATTACCTCAGCTTCAAACTCTATAGTTTGAACACCCTCATCCGTCATTGATGGCGCATGTTGGTTTACTGGCTCCTCAATACCATTTTCAGAGGATGCTGCTACCGGCTCTTCGACCTCTGGACTGGGACTTGGTGACCTGCTCGCAAATCGCCATGATGTACTGAGTCTAGTTCTCTTCCTACCTTTACCACGGACTGACCCATCTTCAACCTCAAATGGGTCGTAGCCTTCTTCGAACATTGAACCGTATGATATTCGCTCACGTTTCAGGAAAGCCGGAGAGGAGTACTCCTCTACATTCTGTGAAGCCAATTGCTTGAAAAATGAGACAGGCGTTGCTGGGATTTCCGGGACTTGGTTTTCGGTCTCTAGATCTGTCGCTGGGGTGGGCGGGGGCGGGGAGGCATTTGTCTGAACAACTTCGGGATCGGGGTTTTCGATGCTGATAAGCTTGACATCTTGGCAATCTTCTGGGCGAAACTGCAAGAAGAATAATTAGAACATGTTGTATGAAAGTTAAATTTTTTTCTCACCTGAAGTAGCAGTTTGTCCGTGAACTTCAATTCAAACTCCACACCCCTTCCAGGTGTCGCACTTGGAGCTTCAGTTCCCACATATTCCACTCCATCTAAACATAATATCACTTCATCACCGCTAGTGATACCAGACTTCGCAATAGCATTCGCAGATGATCCTGAAAATTGTACGCGCACTTGGCCTCTGATTCTGCGCAAGCGGAAATCGGGTTCAGCAAGTAAGAAAGCGACAGAACCCGTGCGGGAACTATATGGCCATGTGAGAGTCACTACCGCTTTAACTGATCTCGAAGCTGATGCTGGAAGTAATGGCGTAAGCTGCGCGATTGGGATATGCGTGGTTGAATCTAACTTTGACATTGTTGTGGAGTTTGGAATTCCATTTGCAGCTGGTATTGTTTCTGCCATTGTTAAATGGAGAATTCCTGCTTTAGATGCTGATCATCGGGAGACCAGCATTTCCTTTCCGTAGTGACGTATCAATGAACCGTATCGTATCCTTATGCGTGAATAATTGTTTTGCTTCGAGTTTGTAGAGCGCGTTTGTGGATTCCTGCTGTGATGGGAGCTTTGCTAGCTTGGGATGGGATGGGCGTCATCGGAATATTTTTAAATTTTGCCGATGTGAAGACCCCTGCTGAAGCACGTCTTGCTGGTAGCGGACTGACGCAAAGAACCTTGGAATAAAAAGGAACAACAGTCGGCCGCATCTTTGCTCTTATATAAATGAATTCACTCTCTCAACCTTTTTCTATGTAGGTGTAGAGAGAAAGTATTCCTTATCCTACAATACGACAAATATTAAATGTTCTTAAACTTTTGATGTCCTTTTATCCATATATATTTCCGGTTCAAATTATTAAATCAACATATATATTACCACAAGTCTAACAAGTGAACCTGAAGAGATATCCAAAATCATCTCGCATCTTCAAAATGAACTCCAGACTTCGAGCGTCGTTCAATGTCAAGCGAATTGCAATTGTAGGTGCAGGTCCCTCTGGACTGGCCGCAGCAAAGTTTCTTCTGGCGGAACAGTACTTTGATAAGATCGACATCATTGAGCAGCAAGCTGAGGTGGGAGGTGTATGGAATTATACCCCAAATATAAGTGATAGTGTGCCCGTCCCATCAACGTCGCCAAGTGTATCTCCTGAAAAGCCAATTTGGCCAAAGGACGGAAACCCTCCAATTTTCTCAAACCCCATGTATGATCGTTTACACACAAACATTCCAAAGCCGTTAATGCGTTTCTCCGATCGGCCATTTCGCTCCGACTCTCTGCTATTCCCTACACGCGAAGACGTTCAAGAATACCTTGTACACTACTCTGGCGATGTCAGACATCTGATTCGCTTCTCGGAGCAAGTCCAAGATATAAGGTTGGAGCCAGACAATGGTCATGATCGATGGCGAATCATTTCTAGATCTACAATCACCAACGACGAGATCAAAGAGACTTATGATGCCGTTGTTATTGCAAACGGTCACTATTCTGTCCCTTTTATACCTGATGTACCGGGGATTAAGGAGTTCAAATCGGCTCATCCATCCATCATATCACACTCCAAAATATTTCGTTCGCCCGATTCCTTTGTAGGTAAGAAAGTAATCGTGGTTGGAAGTGGAGCCTCGGGATTGGATATTGGAACACAGATCAGTAAGGTTTGTAAGAAGCCTCTATTAAACTCAGTAAGAACTTCTTCTGGCGAGGGAGGAGACGGGAAGGAAGAGGTCCCTCCCATTTCAGAATACCTTGCCGACATTAGAGGTGTGAAGTTTGATGATGGACGGATAGAAAAGGACATCGATGCCGTAGTTTACTGCACAGGGTACTTCTACTCTTATCCATTCCTCAATTCGTTGAAACCACCAGTTGTCACCACTGGTCGACGAGTGGTGGGCTCATACCAACATCTATTTGATATCCAGCATCCAACTCTTGCATTTACAGCCTTGGCACAAAAAGTTATCCCGTTCCCAATATCTGAAGTCCAAAGTGCAGCAGTCTCGAAAGTTTGGTCGAACAAGTTGGACTTGCCTAGTAAGGAAGAAATGAATTTATGGGAGCAGGAAAGGGTGAAGGAACATGGCAATGGCACGTCTTTCCACGTCTTTGGTTACCCTCACGACGCAAATTATATAAACAGTTTGCACGATTGGGCGAAAAGTGCCAAAGGAGGATTCAGCAAGGAGCCAGCGTATTGGGATGAGGAGAAGTTATGGATAAGAGAATTATATGCAGACATACGAAAGCGTTTTATTGAAGATGGCGAGAAAGCAAAGTCCCTGGAAGAGCTGGGTTATGATTTTGAGAAGCGCGACGAAGAGACGAAGAGATAGAGTTTACAGGTGTTGATAGAACAATAATAGAAACAGATCAGATTAGAAGGTTGAGAGAAAAGGCATGTTCTTCAATTTGTGAATCAATCGTACTATTGACACTCATCGTCGGGCGCCCTTTTACACGACTAGTAGATACTTATAAACACATTCAAATGGTGAAGAGAAGCAAAGAACAAAGCATAGGTGGAGATGTAATTTATGTGACTATAGACTTAACATGAGGTCAGCATTGAAAAGAATCATGAACAATCCCGACGATTAAAAGCTTCCACCAAAAGATCAGTCTTTGCCAATGTCATCTCAACTTCAACACAGCAAACATGTATTCCGTAGAACATGGCGGTTGAATCGTATTACCAGAGTTGTGTTGTCCTCATATCATTCATTTCAATCAATGCACATAGTATTCCAAGTGTGCTTACCCTATTGTTGACATCATTATTCATCCCTCATCGTCCATGTCGTCTTCCATGTCATCGCCCATTACATCCTATCTCTTCTAACAATCCATAGTGTGGACGGTGTAGTATGTTTCCATCTTTAGGTCATCATCGTGTCATGGAAGCCGCACGAGGGGCCCTCGTGACGATGGTTTTGAAGTGGTAAATATGTTTCTTCTTGACCAAGTTATCGGAATCGGCAGTTGAGTAGTGAAAATATCAAACTATCGATGATTTGATTTAATGGTCTTGTTTGTTAAAGAAGAAAGAAAAAGAGACCGGACAAGAAAAATCAAACAAAATATTTCTTACACTAGCGTGGTTCGCTAAATTCAACTTAGGCCCCGCGCTGCTCTAAGGCTCTCAGATTGATTCAGTTGCCGCGATGCGTACATACATACTAGTCCATAGGGACTTTCTGGCTGTTCCTACATTTTCATCATTTTAATCATTACCCACCCAAAACTGCAAACTTATCGAAACCCTCAATTTGTAAATCTGGAAACCTTCAATAACCCGTCACATCACATCACATACAATACAAATACGATATTACCTCCCAAAATAAGAATCACCCTCACCACATAACTGAATACCATCTGCGAATACCAACAACCCTTCACACCCAAATCCAGCCCTCTGCGATATCCTTAACTTGCTACTTTGTTCAACAAAAATCACCCGATACCTCACTTGCTTGTACCTCTCTATCTACAAGCATATCTCGAAAGTTATTCAACGTCACAAACGGAAGCTCATAATATTGCCATCATCGGAAGTTTGACACAAAGCGCATAGTTATCAGATTTTAAATTCATCCTTTCGTAATGGATAACCTGTGGAGTCGCCGTTCGAAGTAAGTATTTCCTTCTTCGTTCCCGCATTGTCTCTTTTCTTTGAGCGCTTCTAACCAAAGGGTGGTGCAGTTCCAGCAAACTTTCGCTATCCACAGGCAATCCAACTACGAATGGATCAACTCTTGGTGGTGGCGACCACGCAGCAAGGGGATTCGTCTTGGGAAGAAGACATGGAGACACTTCTTCGCACAGCACAAAAAATCCTTTCAATTCCATGTCCCCTTCGGCCTCATCCTTATCCTCTCCAACAACGGGCGCATCGAGCGCTTTTGGATTAGGATCAGGCGCTTTCGCATCATTTGGAAACTCAAAGGGCCCGAAAACTCCTGGAGGTGGAGGTGCGCTGGATTTTGGAAGTGTAGTGGGAGGATCTACCAAAACACCAACTGCGGAGAAAAATTATAGAGATTTGGGAACAAAGACATCTAAAACTTCCCTTACAGATTCTAAGACGGCTGCAGCGCCAGCTTCACACCAATTTCGACATGGCTGGGTATTTTGGTACAGACCTCCAATCTCCAAGTCAAACGGATTTGTTGAATACGAAAAGACATTACACCCAATGGCAGCATTCAATTCGGCGGAGGAATTGTTTGACGTTTTCGATCATATGAGGCACCCCTCGAATCTGCCACTAGTCTCCGATTACCACATGTTTAAGAAGGGAATTCGTCCAGTTTGGGAGGATGATGAAAATAAAAAGGGAGGCAAATGGATTGTGAGACTCAAGAAGGGTGTGGCTGATCGTTATTGGGAAGATTTAGTCTTTGCAATGGCTGGAGATGAGTTCGACCCCAGCGAAGAAGTTTGCGGGGTTGTACTTAGCGTGCGCAATGGAGAAGATATCTTGAGTATCTGGACCCGTTCAGGTGGCGGGAGGGTACTCAAAATTAGGTATTTAACCCTTTACAAAATGCTCAACAAATAGACTAACCATTGAACAGGGAGACATTAAAGCGCGTTCTTTCATTCCCACCTGAAACTAAGGTAGAATGGAAGTCTCATGATTCTAGTATACAACAACGAACTGCTATCGACGAAGCTCGAAAGGAGAAGGCGGCCAATCATCACAATAATCGTAATGGCACCGAACACTCGGAGAAGAAATAAGCAATCATTATTTCAACATTTTATTGAGCTCCCTAGGCCACGAGTTTTCTTTTTCCTTACAGGAACTGTACAAGTATTTGGGTTGCATGAATTGGTAAAAGCGAAATGAATGAACGATTTGTTTGGCTTAGGTGGCGATTTTTAACTTAAATGTCATTTTGGTTCTGATTCTTCTTCATACCTTTTGATTTTAAGGGAGCCTGTATCATAGTTTCGAAGAGTTTCTTGTTCAGTGACTCTTCTTGGCCTTGCCTTTCTTTCTACTTCTGCTAGTTTAGGATTGCGGTAGCTACATTCAATGTGCTACCTACTACGCAGTAGATCTCATGGCGAGCAAAATACATTTCTATGAAAGAACATCAAGGGACTTGGAGAAGAAGTTTATGTGGATATCAGTAGCTGTGACGTAGTTCATATTGCTTACTTTTGCGTAATACTCTGATAATGGGGTTGGATTTATGAATTATGCTTATTTACCTATGCTGACTCCTGGGTATGCATAGTTGAAGGGGAGGTATTATTGGAGAGATATTTTAAGAGTGAATTATAATTATTATTATTTATTTGAAGGAGAAGAAATAAAATAAACATATATATGTGATTTCCTAACACTAGGTATCTATAATTCGTTTTGAATATTCATATTATATTTGAATTAGGGCCCGTTCGAATCAAAAAAAAATTTGATATTAGACTAATATATTAGACATATTAGACCTAATATAATATTTACTAAATGTAATATTAAGTTTAATATATATTAGCTCAAATAAATGTATTTATTGAATATAATAGTAGATCTAATAAAATATTGAATCTAATAATATTAAAATAATAAATACAATAAATTTTCTTATATAGTAATCAACAGCAACTTTTGAGGTTTAGTTGGGCTAATATATTTGAGAAAAAGCATTATCTTCTTTATTTTAATTTAATTTCTTTATTTTCAACTCAACTTTGTATATCCCAATATTACTTCAAATATATTAGCTTTATTCAAATATCAATATTTCAAATCCCTTATCATTTTATTATTATTAGAGATTTCATCAATAAAATAAAAAATCGATCCGAACAAACCCTTAATATTCTTCTGAAAAGAAGAAAAAGTAGAAGTAGCCGAGGTCTTATCTCTTTACATTTTGTCATGTCTTTGTCTCCACCATTCGATGCACTCACACCCTTCCACTGTCGAATAATTCATAAATCAAAACAACGCCATCCATCTATACAACAACCTCACCAAGCTTCTGTGGTCCAATGGTTAGGATTCCACCCTTCCAAGGTGGAGGTTCGTGTTCGATTCACGGCAGTTGCAATTCTTTTTGCATTTTCTCAATTTTTTTTGAATTGTCTTATTTGTCTGTCTCAAAAATTTGTGTCTTTTTGAGTTTTTTGTGTAAATGGATAGGGGGGATGGATAGATGAACTCGATTTTTGCTGTGTGGGTGGAGAAAAGGAGAGGGCAGGTGGACTGAGCGGCTCGGTTCGGTTCCGGCGGGATCATGACGGCATGCGGATTTATGTTTATGTTTGTTTGGGCTTTTTAATACTATATACCTTTTATATACAAAAAGGGGGGCTATAGGGATATTTTGGTGCTTATCGAGTGTAGTTATTATATCTGTTGAATACTTATTTACATAGGGCAACCCTTTTTTTATATATATAGATATTCGAGAGAATATAGACAAGCAAATCGTATTCGTCGGTATTTTATTCTATTAGAATACTAGGTATTTATTCTAAATTATCAAGTCTCTTATTATAGATTCCAAATAAAAGGAAAGGGTATATAGAAGCAAGTTAATTCGAGACTAGTAAAAACTTTATTCTGAGAGAAATTCTCCATAGTCTAATGAGATAGTCGTTAACATCGTACAGCTTGTTTTGCATTTTGTTCTCTCATCGATCTCAGTACGAGTAGAAAACGTTCGTAGTTCGTAGTTCGTGGTTCGAAAAACATAGGATCGCAATTCCGGATATCTTTTGAGATGGTATTCTATCAGACGAGCTTTTTCTCGGCCCTTCGTGGCTAAAAATAACAACGGCTTCGCTAGCGCTCTCCGTAGTTATTTTTAACGCTACTCAGGACCTACGCCTACGCTCGTGCTGCGCAGCTTTTTAATAATAATAATAATAATAATAATAGTAATAATAATAATAATAATAATAATAATAATAATAATAATAATAATAATAATAATAATAATAATAATAATAATAATAATAATAATAATAATAATAATAATAATAATAATAATAATAATAATAATAATAATATAATAATAATAATAATAATAATAATAATAATAATAATAATAATAATAATAATAATAATAATAATAATAATAATAATAATAATAATAATAATAATAATAATAATAAATGAATTTCGCTAGCCTCTCGCTTCTAGCTCGCATAAGGGCGCCGAAGGCGTCTTTAAGTCTAAATCTAATAAATCTAATAAGTCTAATAAGTCTAATAAGTCTAATAAGTCTAATAAGTCTAATAAAAATAAGTCTAATAATCTAATAAGTCTAATAAGTCTAATAAGTCTAATAAGTCTAATAAGTCTAATAAGTCTAATAAGTTTAATAAGTCTAATAAATCTATTTCCCTCTTATAAATCTAATTCTTTTTTTTTTATAAATCTAATTCTTTTTTATAAATCTAATTCTTTTTTTATAAATCTAATCCTTTTTTATAAATCTAATCCCCTTCTCTTTCTAATCCCCTCCCCCTCCCCCTCTCATTCTCCTCCTCTTTCTAATCCCCTCCTCTTTCTACTCTCCTCTTTCTAATCCCTCTCCTCCCCTTTCTAATCCCTCTCCTCCCCTTTCTAATCCCCTTTCTAATCCACCTCCCCTTTCTAATCCACCTCCCCTTTCTAATCCCCTCCTCTTTCTAATCCCCCCCTCCTCTCCCTCCCCTTTCTAATCCCCCTCCCTCTCTCCCTCCTCTTTCTAATCCCCCCCTCCTCTCTATCCCCTTTCTAATCCCCTCCTCTTTCTAATTCCCTCCCCTTTCTAATTCCTTATCTCTCTTATCGCAAATCCCGAACCTCCGAACCAATCAGAAACGTTTATTCAATTCTTCAAAATCTTCAATATTTTTAAATTTTCAATCTCTTCAATTTACTCTCTAATCAATTATTTCTCTTATTAACTATAACTTATTAATACAAAAATTATATCATTAAAAAGCTCTCAATTCATAGAATCCTAGAATCCCTTTCGATCTCATTTCATGAATTCTCTACTCTTGATTTGTTGATTAATTTGATATAAAGCATTTTGATGTTCGCGCACGGGGCATCCGTACTTTTTCTCGACCAATCAGCTTCCAGTTATAAACCGTGTTTTAAATCCTGTATGTTAGGGATTGAATTTTTGGGGCTTGTATCGAATCATTGGGTTGGATCTGTATCTTGCTTTATAAGTACATTTTACTCTCCTTCTTTCTCAGTGGTTGTTTTGAGTTTTGGGCAGAGAGAGAGAGAGCGTACTCTGAGATGACTGACTTCTTCTAATGCTTGGAATGATGTACATCTTTGTATTTTCGTTTTTCAATGTGGTGTTTTACTAATTCCTGTTTTGGGTGACAATTAATCAAGAATTAGTTAGTTGTCGATGCTGGGTAATATTATCCATCTTTTATCGATCGAGTAAAAGTCATGGAAAAAGACTTCTTTATAGGTCAATTATGGTTTTGGAACTGCTTGGATCTCCATGATTCGAAGTGAAAAGTATGAATACTTTATCCTTTCTGGCTATGAAGACCATCATATCACAAGCAAATCAATCTGGACGTGCAAGTTTTCTACAAGAAAATCTGTATTGCATTCTCTTCGTTTAAGAAGCTATCTAATTGACGAGACACTCATAACAATGTTCCATAAACGCCAAACGTTTTAGTCTGAAATAGTGCAGTTCAAACTTCATGTCCTCACTCGTCCTCAGCTAATAACATCTCGAAGGAACCAGAGAGGATAATTAGTCTAGTATCAATATAATCTCACACAGTCTCCCCACTCCGTAATCATTCTCCCCACCAGCACAAACCCCCAAACAGGCGGAATGAATATCCCAAGAGGAATAAACGCAAACACATACAAGAGAACTGCTACTGGCCCAGGACCAAAATTTGGAGATATCGCCACAAAAAATTAAGACATGAATATTCCAAACGCGATTTTAGTACACTCTCGGAAAGCCCTTTTGATCCCCTTTTTCCAACTAAAGGCTTCAATTTGTGTATCATTTATAAGCGTTTGGTTAATTTCATAAGTGTTATGATAGATGTCGGGAACACTCAATAGACACAAAGAAAGAAAGATTGGAAACAAAAAGAGGATCTTGAGAAGCTCAAGGGTACTGAGAAGGGGAAGACAGAATCCATATAGGCCACTAGCAAGCCAGGTCATCATGATACCTCTTTCAGTTACGGAACTCTCGCCAGAATGAAATTCCGTCAATCCCGCAATTAACCCAAAGAAGAGACCTACAGCACAAATTCCGATACTAATTTCTACTAGTATAGCCCATCCCATTCGTCCGCTTGTTCTTTTTATAGTCGGTGAGTAAAGAAGCTCTTCGAGCTCGGCGATTGATGCAGTAGTCGTAGTGGGTCTTTCCGGCAGTTTAAGTAGCGTACGCACATTGGAAATAGATGCGGCCAGGCAATTCTCTTCACTATCAGTGATCGGTGAAAGTACTCTGAGTTGGATCGCATTGGACTCTTCTTTATTGCTTTTGGGCGAATTAGCAAAGTCATCCCAGCGGAGAAATCGATGACAATTTGGATGGTAGATTGTAGCCGATCGGACTGGAGTGAACTCTGCATAGTCACCTGAACTTATTGGAATAACATAATCTTTCAATGCAAGATTATATAGAATCATGATCCGTTTGATGTAAGAGTCGGCAAATTTGTAGGCTTTAAGCCTCATCCTATTTACCTTCATGTTCTGCAACATGGCGAAAAATGACCTTGTCTTCTCACCCCGAACAGATGACAAATCTTCCATAGCAAGGTGAATGGTATATAATAGGCCTTTTCTTGATGACCGCCTGGGTGCACGAGGAATTTGGATTTGGTACTCATCTGTTGAACCTACTGGCCTTGCTAGGATGTCCGGATTAGACTGCGTACGGGATTCATCAACGAAGAATCCATTTTGTAGTACTGGGCTCTCATTACCACCATCAGGCAAGGTTTTACCAGCTGGATTTACAGGTTGGTCGGCCTGCGTCGCGCTCGTTTCAGATTCGTTTGCGGGGGGGATAGTAGAAGCATCGAGTTGAGAGATGACTTCCAGATGTATCATTTTGGCATCTTTGGCGGATAGCTTCTTCTTTGCCTTGCTTGCAATGATTAAATCAAGGAGATTATTGAACATATCGAAGATATAGATCTGGCTAGCCGTTGAAGTAATTCTAAGGGAGAAATCTCGAATGTCTTTTTTAGTAAGACCACTCCATGCTGGATTCTCAACTTGCATCCCATCTTTTGGTAAAAGGGAAATCATTTGCGCTATTCCGCCTTCAAATCTTCCACCCGATCTTTCTGCTTCAACCATAGTCTCGCTTCGTATCATGTATAAGCAAGAATAGTCTGGAGAGACCATATTTGAAATTAGGTTAACAAGAGTCATGGCAAGATATGGTATGACTGTAAGGTGATATGATGCGTATCCCCAGCGGCTAATCAGATCTGGGCGATTTGAGAGAAGCGTGGTGAATGCAGCGACAACCTGAACAACTGAGGCCACTGCTTTCAGAACACTATAGCTAGCACTGATCTCGCTACTAAGCCTTGGATCTCCGTGAGTGTCTGAAGCCACCTGAGAAATCAAAAAGGTGTTGCGGGGCACTATGGCAAACTCATAACCTTCTGGAAGCTCGTATGTACCATGTACTCGCGACAATCGTAAATCCACGCGCGATCTGGCCCAGACGGAATCGAAGTGTATCCACGTGGATGATTGTTCGCGGGCGTATGAAGGAAGATATGTTATCATGTTTGCTTTTATGGGTTGAGATGAGTCGTGCCCAGATTGCTCCTCGGGATCTGTATCCTCCACACCTATATCATCCTCAAGTACTACCCCCACAGAAAACTTCTGTCCCGGCTTAGGTTTCCAGTGAGGTGCTCGAACAACCATACATAATGCCCCGGCTCTGCATGCCTTTTCGAGCTCATTCCGGGCCAGTATCGGGAGTCGAACAATAGCGTTGAGAGCGCGCAGGAGACCAGAGATTGGAAAAAACAAAGCCAACAGAGCATTACAACCCTGAAGAAGGGAGTCATCTCCAGGGCTTGATTTAACGGTCGCTGCATGGGCTAAATAATTTGTGGCAAAGAAAATAATAACAGCTGCAACTGAAGGCCAATAGTTCTTGCTAATAGGAAGGCATAATATATGCTCATTGCCATGTTGAGTTGTGCTATTAGGAACCTTTATGGTGATATTTGTCAAAAGACGATCGGGAAAAATGGAGCTCATCATGAGATTGAACTAGGTGCTCAAGGTAAACACGCACTGCGCTAGCATTGCGTAGATGTTTTGAGGCCTCTATATATAATTTTGGCAATTCTCAACCTCATAGAACATCTTGTCCCTTATTATTTCGAGCGGCTGAAGTAGCCAATATGTGTACACCTCTTAGCGCCAACATGTATTGCATCTCAATCAAATCATATACACCAATAAATTTGGGGAGTCAGACAGACTCCGTCCAGCCTGAATAACCAACCAATGTTCGAGATCTAATCTTCTTCCATACATAGGCCTGTCATCACTGAACAGAGTAGCTCTGCACATCTGAAGTGGTGTGCAGAACTTCTGCCCTCGAGCCTTCTTTATTAGAGAAAAAGTAAACTCCCAAATAATCTTCGCATCAACTGACACACTCGAGTCACAATGTGGCTGATCTGTAAGTTGAGATGAATATATCGGCTGAATGCCAGTTATGCGGTATTCCATCGAAACGTTTGAACGGCTTAATCATGATGCAGTAGCAGTGTAGCTAGTCATCTCAAACATGAGATCGCAAGAAAATGTTTAGGGTTATGTCGACTTAAGTCGGCGGGGTGAGAAGGGGAGAGGGGCTCGAGGGGCATGTGGGGTCACGTAATATCGGACTAAACATCCCTTCCAACACCGATGTCAGCTCGTTAACCTCATGCAGCAAAAAATCATCGGCATCATCGAAACGAAAATTCCCGACATGTCTATTCCTCGATTGCCATCTGAAGTGAGACGGCGGTAGAAAGAAAGCTATCAAGACTATACTACTGGCCAATCTTAGCATGCGAGATGCTTGTTTTATCTCTAGTCTCGAAAGTACGGGATGCACACAATGTCATGTCTAGATGTAGGATGTGTTGCACCATCTACACGGTGTCAATAGACCCCGATTGTGTGACCTTTGTGTCTATTGAGCATTCCATATGTGATGGATTATTGTTAAAGGTAGGTAGAGGTTCCGAAGTGGCAGATATAAATATATATATCCCAAGACATGCTCTTTGGCTCTTCATTTCCATTCTTCTCTGTTTTCTATTAACTAGCTAGTATCAAACAAGCAAGGTGGAATAACCCCGCATCTGTTATACGATCTCAAGATACCTCTCCCTTCACACTCAGGTTCGCATCAAACATCGACCTTATCTCAATATGCGATCAACTGCAGTCCTCATCGTGGGTGCAGGTCCTGCCGGCCTCACTTTGGCCCTCGAACTTTCTCTTCAGAAAATCCCATTCATCCTAATCGATCCTCTCTTCACCCAGTCCCCCAATTCTCGCGCTCTCGTCCTTCACACTCGTTCCATGGAACTTTTCTCCCGACATGCCTCTCTCGTATCGAATCTCCTCCCTCTCTGCAAACAAAATCTCGGCTTAAGTTTCTACGTCAACAAGAAGAATGCATTCGAAATGGATCTCACCCGGGAGAACATGGGTGTACTCGACACAGAGTATTCAGGACCTTATTTTCTCAGCCAGGGCGAGACAGAAGCATGTCTTGAAAAACAATTAGAAGAATATGGAAGCAAAGTGGAGAGGGGAACAAAAGCCACGTCCATTGTTCAGGATAATAATGGTGTTTCAGTTCGGGTTAAACAAGTAAGGCAAGATGGCTACGAAGAATCAGACGAGGAAGAGATTCGCTGTCAATACATTGTTGGATGTGACGGATCTCATTCAATGGTTCGGAAATCGGCCGACCTGAAATTCGAAGGCTCTGCATACCAATCGGATTTCATATTGGCAGACGTGAAGCTAAAATGGGAGTATGCCTCGGATCGATTGACGTTGTTCATGGGAAATGAATTCATGATGTGTTTACCACTCAAAGATGGAGTACACCGACTTGTATTAAGTGTTCCTAATTTTAAGAAAGATGAATCGACTTACGGAGAGGCTAAAGATGATGTACCTACTCTTAAAGAATTTGAAGAAGCTTTCAAAAGACTTGCTAGGGGGGACATTGAACTCGAGGATCCTCCTATATGGATTACAAGATTTAAACTCCATCACAGGCTTGCCGATTCCTTTCGCAATGGTCGTATATTCATCGCTGGAGATGCAGCGCATATCCATTCGCCGGCTGGTGGTCAGGGGATGAACACAGGTATCCAGGATGCCGTCAATCTCGGCTGGAAACTCGGCGCTGTTCTTCGAAACCAAAGGAAAGAAAGTTTTCTCGACTCCTACAGTATTGAACGACGTCGTGTGGGCGTCAATCTCTTGAAGGGTACAGACCAGGTCTTCGAATTCATGGCCACAACCAATCCCGTTTATCTCTATCTACGCAACACTCTCTTCCCGTGGATGGCCCCGATTGCTTTCAAAAAGGGTGCAAATCGCGCTAGGAGATATCGATTCATCACTCAACTGGGAATACGATATCGACATTCGTCGATTTGTAGAACTGCAAGTGCATATTACGGCCCCAGAAGAGGAGGTGATCGCGCACCTGATGGGAAAATAGTCTTACCTGACACTCAAGAGCAGACGAATCTATACTCGTTATTCAAGGGGCCAACGCATCATTTATTGCTCTTTTCAGGATTGGGGAGAGAGTCAATGGATGCACAGGATTTGTTAGAGACGGTTGGAACAGACTTTCCGGAAAAGGAACAAAGTTGGTTGAGGATCCATAGGATCGTGGGTGGAGAGAAAAAAGGAGGAGAAGGGATTTATGATGAAGCAGGTATTCTACATGAGAGGTATGGGTTTGTAAATGAACCCGGTTACGTTTGTGTTAGACCCGATGCCTATATTGAGTATATTGGGACAATGAAGGGGTTAGCAGAATGGAAAGCAAGTTTGCTTTTATGAAGAGAGAACGAGTATGATGTTGAGATATTTGGAAGTTTGTAGATTTAGTTATGGATTTGGATCCTGGTGGAGATAGCTCTGCGGAGTATTGATGAGAGGCGCTGCGGTTTTGTATGGAATGGGATGGGATGGGATGGGATGGGATGGGATGGGATGGGATGGGATGGGATGGGATGGGATGGGATGGGATGGGATGGGATGGGATGGGATGGGATGGGATGGGATGGGATGGGATGGGATTGGATGTCTGGTTCTAGTAATGTTTGAATGTATTAATTGGGAATACCTCACTCACTCTCTCGATAGGATAGGATATGGTGGCTGTCGTATTATATATATGAAATTCTACTTATCATTATTTTCTCTACCCTTGCACAACTTGATGCTTGTTTGTGGATGAATATGAATTTGTATATATATATGTTAATACTGAATCCTGATATGATTGTTGATACCTAGGTATTGATATCGATTTGAATAATTTACTAACCCAACTAAACTAGAAATTGTAAAATGTTCTTAGACCGACTGACTTTACTCTTGAGAACGATGGATTTTTGATTCTTGTTTCGTGGGATTCGAATCGAATCCTGATGATTAGGATTACTAGATTCAAGATTTAAGATTCAAGATTCTGTATATCTGTATATCTGTATATCTGTATATCTGTATATCTGTATATCTGTATATCTGTATATCTGTATATCTGTATATCTGTATATCTGTAAAGATATTCATGATATCGGAATGTCAAGAAGTTAAGAAGTTACGAAACGAATTTATCTCATCTTATCTTTTTCAATTTATAGTCTGAGTTGGATGTAGTGCTTGATGCTTAGTATTAAACTTGAAGTATTATTGAGATTTGGGATTTGGGATTTAATAGATGTAAGATAAATAATAGTAATTAGATAAATAGATAATAGATAAATAAATAAATAAATAAATAAATAGATAAATAGATAAATAAATAAATAGATAAATCTAATCATTTAATATATTATATATTATATATATTATTATATTATGATATATATTATATATTATTATCTATTATTATATATTATTATATTATATTATATATAATTATATATTATTATATATTATTATATATTATTATATATATATATATTATAGTATATATTATGATATATTATTATTAGTTATTATATAGTATTATACTAGTTATTAAATATTATTATATATTA